ATTGTTCTCCATGCATTTTTTAAAAATAAAAACCAAATTAAAATTTTAGTAAAAATGTTTGAGGACCCCCAAGATATCTCTCGCGGACACCTGGGGGTCCAGGGACCCCAGTTTGAGAACGTCTGATGGTAGAAACGATATGAAGTAACGCACGTCGCTCATGTCAAACTCAGACTCATTCAGTAAAAACAAAATGAGCCCAAATCTTTGGATTCAATGAAGACAGGACCAGGTGAATCTCTCTTTCCTCCAGTTTTGTTGTTTCCTCTTTGTTTCGGTGCTTTCTGCACATTCATATGTTCCAGAAGCAGCTGCGTGATGACGTCAGGACGTCCCGTGTAGTTACAAAAATGGTGGCTGACAGCCATTGGATTTGCTTTATTTTTTTAAATTCATAAAAATGGATTTTGGGACATTTTAAATCGATTCTGAATCTTTGTAAATGAAAATCACGATTCTGATGTCAAACGATTTTTTGGTGCACCCCTACTCCCTCCCACTGCACGTCATGAAGAGTAGTAGTCGTATGTCCCGATCCAGATTTTTTGGCTCCCAATACAATCTGATTTTTTAAATGGTTAGTCTTTCTGATACCGATCCGATAGCTTTATTTTTATTCCTTCCCAAGTGACAAGGTTGGTAGTATTAAAGCGAGCCCCGCTGTTCCCACCACGAGAAACATCCAGTTTGCAGATTTTGCAAAGATGCAGTTTCAGCATCATTGTTTTCCATTGAAGTGTTCCCACACTGTGGACATGTTTGCATACTTGTGTGCGTCTTGACTTCTTAACGGCAGTTGTAAAGCATGATGATGCTGAAAACGTCACGAAAACTGGATCGGCCCAATCACGACTAAAGGCTCCTGCACGCTGCTGCCAAACTGCCGAAATCGTGTCGAACTGTCGCAGTTTTATGACGAAAATTGCGTCACTTCTGTTCGCATTGTCGACATTTCTTGTCGCAACCCTCGGGTCGAACTTTTCACCCCTCCTCATAAGAACACATACGAACTGTATGGTGTGATTGGTCAGAAGTTGGTGGGAGTGTTTTTGTTTGTGCTGAAAGCTCGGATGCAGCGTTTACTTCAACCTCGCTTCAAAAAAAAAAAGGAAGAAAAAAGCGATCACTTCCGGAGCCGACTGTTGTACCAGGAAGCAGCGATTTTAAAGTTTTAGTCAAACGACCAAAAGCTCATAAAAGGGGATAAAACAGACATTTTTCACGGTGGAATCTGACTGATAAAAACTTTGGAGCTTAATCCGGGACCAGTTTGAGGATAAACAACGTCGAGCGAGCCGCGGACTTTTTTTTTTTCCTTCCCGCATTGGACTCCCCCGGGAAGGAATCCCATGCAGTGACGTATGCTGCAGCGGGAGGGGGTTTCCCCAGGAGCTCGGCTCGGGGTGTCTCAGGAACTATGAAAGGTTTGTGTGAAAACGAACGCCGAACAACCACGTGACGGCGCATCGTCCGATCGGCTCCAGGCTTAAATCTGATTCTACCCGATTTTCAGGAAACGGCCAATCTGCCACCGATATCGATAATAAGGATCTGATCAGGACATCCCTAATGCAGAGCGAAGAATTAACAACCGTAGTTTTTTTCACACCCAAGTTGTCGGAGAAAAAAATTGTTTTTTATGTATTGTTACCCACAGAGATAATAAAAAATGATGTGGGCTGCAGACGATAAGTTCAACAGGCAGAACCTCATTGTATGGCAGGCAGATATTACATTTATTTGGCTTCACCACATTTATATTCTAGTTATCTGATATAGTTTTATGACAGGACTATGTGCAGCTTAAGCCCCTTAAGGTCCAACTTATGCCAACAATTCTTTTTTATGTCTAAATGACTAATTATAGTTGAAGTACTGGTTATAACATCCACTTTATTTTGATATTGTTGAAAATTTGAGAAATGTTTTTTTTTTTTTTTTTTTGTTGAAACCATTTTTCAATTTATATAAAACATTCTTTTGTACTTCTGTTATGTCCTACACTACAGCAAAAATGCTGGGTTTGATTATGATTACAGTTTTCTGCAAAAGAAAAGCTCTAAAAATTACATTATCTTTGCTCTTTATGATAATTTTCTACCGCGATATATACTGTTAGCGTGAAGGGATTCAGTTTATATTGTGATATGAGTTTGAGGTCATACTGCCCAGCTCTACTTTGAGTAACTTTAGAATCAGCAAGTTTCACAAGATGGGATGATCAAATCTCCTGCAACATTGAGACCTGTTTATAGTTTTATTACATTGTGGAAAGTTTACCCTTTTTGTGTCCTGTTCATTCATTGTCTGTGTAGGTAGGAACCCTTCATTTAAAAACTTATCTTTACTGCCTCTTTGCATTTTTTATTGTCTAAAGATCACTTGACTTCACTCTCTTAAGCAGCTCCTGCCTCTCCTTTCCTAGATGAATTTAAAGCTATAGTCAATTGCCAAGATAACCTTTAACTGTTAAAAAACACAATTTACATAGAATGCAATTCATATAAAGTATTTGTTACTTTTGTGACACACTCGATTATCAAATGTTTAATGTGTGGTTGTATCAAAGCGAAACATTTCTGTCAAAATGTATTTACACTTTGCTTTTATATTTTCTCCTTGTGGTTAAAATAGGTTTGTGGACACAGGAGAAATGCCTGAGACCTTCCCTTACAGAACCAAAGCACTTTTTGCGTTTGAGGAAATCGATGGTGTGGACGTGTGCTTCTTTGGCATGCACGTGCAAGAGTATGGCTCYGAATGCTTATTTCCCAACACTAGGTTTGTTTATTTGTGCATATAGTAATTTGAATTACATACAAGTGTACAACAATTAAAACTAATTTATTAAATTTTCTTCTATTGATTTGTTCAGGCGGGTCTACATATCGTATCTTGACAGTATTCACTTCTTCCGACCCCGAATTCTGCGAACAGCGGTGTACCATGAGATTCTCATTGGCTATCTTGAATATGTAAAAAAACTTGGGTATGACCTTCACTTGGAATGTTCTACTTTGCCTCTGTGAAAGTAAAAAAAAAAAAAGACCAAGTGTTTTCATGTCTATACTGTTTGATTAGCTTTTTGTTTTGTGTGAAACTCAGTTACACCCAGGGCCACATCTGGGCATGTCCACCCAGTGAAGGAGATGACTACATCTTCCACTGCCATCCTCCTGAACAGAAGATCCCAAAGCCTAAGAGACTGCAGGAGTGGTACCGGAAGATGTTGGACAAAGCTTTTGCTGAGAGGATCTTGCATGATTATAAGGTATTTCAGCAATTTAAACTTTTTGAGATATTTAGCTTTTTCTTTGTAAGAAGGCAGCAGTGTGCCTACACCAGTGCTGTAGAATTGCAGGTAGTTGTTGGGGTGCTACCCCAAAGGTTATCCTACGGATCTACACGACCATAATCCGCCCCATGCTATGTTTGTGCCAAAAATTCACTTTTAAAATTTGGGGAAAATCCCCACTTACATGTTTCAGGGGGGATTATTACTTATGAGCAGATTTACAGGTCTTGTCTTGTGCTAAATGAACATAAAAACCTCTCAGGTTAATATGCTGCTTTCATTTTCCTCCTCCTGCCTTCCCAGCTGTTATTGTAGCTGCTCTCTTAACTCTTTTATGTTTGAGAGGCTCTTTCAGAGCCCGACCACCCTACRAAGGAAGCTCATTTYGGCCGCTTGTATCCACCATTGATCTATATTACTGGATCGGACATCACATGACTTATCGTGCGCCGCACAGGTGCCATTTCTATGCATTGAGTTTTGACTCAGAACATCCATGAATGGTGGTAAAGATGAGATGCAGCAGACAGTTACGCAAGAAATATCAAAAAGGGATGCAATATTTTGCCATAAATTGTCGACACTACAACAACAAGATCACAAGATCAAGGTGATTACATTTTACAGGTCATTCAATTATTTTTTTATTTAAAAAAAATGGCAGAGATACGGAAAGTGGGTCAATTATCTTTAAGCTAGATTTTGACAACTTTATGTCTAGGGCTGCCACAAACCATTATTTTTATAATCGATTAATCACCGATTATTTTTTTGATTAGTTGACTAATCAG